AAAAGAAAAAAATGGAAACAAAGTCTTTGTAAATAGGGAAGGGTGGAGGGGGTGAAGGGAGGGCAGGGGAATGGGGAAAAAAAACAAGAATCAAGATATATCATGTACAGGTACAAATTTCCAATGATGAATGTAATCATACTGTATACCTAAAATGTACCAACAAACTTAATGGAGAAAAAAAATACTGGAGAAGCTGAGGAGGAAAAGAAACCCTTCAACATTGTTAGTGGAAATGTAAGCTAGTACAACCATTATGAAAATCCAGTATGGAGAATCCACAAAGAACTAAAGATAGAAATTCTACCCATATTTACAGCAGCACAACTCACAATAGCTAAATCTTGGAAGTGGCATGTATGTCCATCAACAGATGAATGGATAAAGAAAGTGTGATATTTATATGCAATAGAGTACTACTCTGCCATAAAGAAAGATAAATTTGAGTCATTTGTAGGAAAATGAATGCACTTTGAGACCATAATTTTAAGCAATAATACATCAGACACACAAACTTAAATATTGCCTGGTTTCTCTTATATAAGAAACCCAAAGTATAAACAAATTAAAAGGCAAAATATAAGACAAGTAATAGGAAAAAGAGAGAGGGCCGGGGATTTGGCTCAGTGGCTTTGCCACCTGCTGTGCAAGTGCAAAGACCCAAGTTCGATCCCCGGTACCAAAAAAAGAGAGAGATAGATCTTTTGCAAGAGAAATGGGGACCAAGAGATGGATGGAGGGGAGAGGAAGAGGAGGGGAAGGGGACAACAAAAGAATTAAGAGGTGTTATATACGTATACCAACTCTCTGCAGTGAATGTAATCACTATGTACTGCAAACATGTACTGTGCTAATAAAAAGGTTTTAATAAGTGCACTTCCAATCAGCAAAATAAATCACATGGAAACTGTTTTACTTCAGTTTTGTATTCATGTGATGATGGAAAGGGGAGGCAGATATATTCAATAGCAAGAAAGACATATTACTTTACTTTTTTCACCAAGGACAACACAACAATAACATTAGGATTCTTTATTCACTTCAAGCAGCAATCTGGGTAATAATGGTTAGTATATGAAAACTTTAAAAAATTCTGTATCTATTTATTCTAGTACCCCTTCTTAATCTCAAAAGGGAATCCAGTTGGATGCCAAATTATATGGTCATCCTAATTATAGCTGAAACATCAAACATCTTAAAGCATTGCCTTTTTCTTAATAGTAAACTGGAAGAAAACAGGGAACCAATCATTTTATATTTCTGATAAGTATATGATGGAGGTACCCACAGTGGGGAAAGTTAATGCAAAAAAGAGCCAACAGAGAATTAAAGAGGACTCATAATAATCTCCCCATACATAAAAAAACAAGATTTTTTATAAAAATAAGAATATTGAGCTATTATATGAATCTTACCTGTAAATTTGCCAGAAAGACTATCGAAGCTTGGATTCTGAAACTTGACATATTTATCTGTCCACCATGTAAGTCCATTCTTTAGCATTGGGACTCTTATATGCGTAGATGAATTAAGTTTGTATGAAAGAATTATGGTATCTGAAAAGAAATAAAAAATTGTGTTAGAGATGCAAGCTAGCAATGTTGCTACCCTTCAAGTGCAGAGCCAGACACAGCTACAAAATAAATCAGACTGGGCTGGGGATTTAACTCAGTGGTTCCGGCACCTGACTTGAAAGCGCAAGGTCCCGAGTTTGATCCCCGGTACAAAAAAAAAAAAAATCAGAACTCTTGCAAACTTTCAACACACCCGTATACCACAGATGCTGCAATCACAAGACCATTCTTTTTCCTGCCAAGGTTGAACCAGCTATTGAATATTGAAAAATACTCTTAACCTCCATTTAACTCATGTACACTGACTACTCTTCTATATTTCTGGCAAGAAAGTACTTATTTGGAAATGAAACACTGTACATCAGTGCTCTGAATCAGCCAGGATAATAGATTCAGTATTTAAAACACAAAACAAAACGCTGCTACTCAGCTGCAGTGGTAATCCGGACATTTAAATGTTAACACACTTATGAAAAGGGACATAATAGAGATAGGAAAACATCACCTACCATTGAACATGCTGTTGGCAATAGCACCACAAGGAACAATGGGAGTACCGTGGTGAAATACTTTGAATGGAGCACAATCCTCAACATCCTGGATGAAAGATGACAAAGCAATGAGAAATGCTTTTGGTAAACTCTCTTAGAATCTTGAAAGAGAGAACACTGGCAATGTAGGTCATCTTACACTAATTTACTGGCGTGGACCAAGATTATGGACCATTGTCTGTTTTTTCCCAGTTGTCTGGCTCACTTAGGCTAGAAATCTTTGTGTTTCAGAGATATGTGTGTACTGTATGTATGAATAAGGGTGTCTAAGCATGTTTTCCCCTCAATAATATATAGCATTATGTCTGCAGGAAGGAATTTTTTCTTATCAGCTATACTATATATTACACTAAGTTTACACT